TATGTTTGTTTCTGATGGTAATTAAACATTATTACCTTAGTTCTGCAAATCTCAGAAATTCTGAGATTATATAAAGTAACCAAAGGAGGTTCTTTGGTTGTCTATCTCTTTCTATAAAACATTTCTTGACTCTTATCCTTTTGTGTTCTTTCTTCATGTGTAACACAACTTGGTAAAGCTTAATCAGAGATCTCGAGGGTGAGTTACTGGGATATAGTGTATGTCATCTTTGTTAGGGTGGGCATTACCCCTCTAATGTGAGATTTTTAGGCGTGAGTTCAGATTTAGTCAGGCGAGTGTGAGTTACTGGGATATAGTGCATATCATCTTTGTTAGGGAGTGCATTACTCATCTAATGTGAGATTTTTAGGCGTGAATTCAGATTTAGTTGGGCTTCAATGTACTATTAAAAATGGAAAAATTGTATGAAATAGCAAATTATTAATTCAAATTAAATTTTATTGCCATAGTTTATTTTTATTTGTAATTCGCAGCAAACATTCCATTTTTTTGCCATCTAGTTCGGTATACAATTAGTCATTTTCGGTATACAATTACCCATTCGATATACAAATGTATAAAATGTGTCTGTGTTTGTATAAAGCGAGAGAAAAGTGTATATACAGATACATATAATTTCATCCAATACACTTATAATTATACAAATACAAATCTTATTATACAAATTACAATGTATAAATGAATTTATACAAAACTGAACAATTTGCATAAAATTGGATGTTTGTAGCGAATTATACAAATCAAAAGCTCCATAACAAATATAAAATTTGTTATGGAGCGCAATTATGCAAATTATAGCTATAACATACAAATATGATTTTTATGTTTGCTATATGTGAAAGTTGCTCATTAAAAATTGGTAAACTTTCTTCCTTCAAAGAGAAGTCATGTTAAGCATATCAATAGCTATAATATGATCCCAACATTGATGGTGGTAGAAGTGACTATTAAGGAGTAATAACTTGCTAGTGAGATAAAAGGATTGTTCGAGATCATATAAGAAAGATAAAATAATTCACTCACAATGGGTGAGGGACTATGACACCCTTTGCATGCTTAGGATCGGACATAAACGGAACTTAGAACATAACATAATAGCTTTTGCTCAAATTTTATGTTTATTCACTAAATATTCATAAATATTGAACGCGATGCAAGTTTTCATTGTATGTTTTGAGCCGCAACGTCTGATAAAAAAATGAATAAAAAAATGAATATTGATCAGTGTAATTAAACTTCAAAAGTTAAATCATGAGGCGATTAAGATCGGACAAAATCATATAAGAATATATACCACATAATCCAATAACAATGATGTTGGACTCTGATTCGTCCATATAGCTTGCGTTACGTTGTATCTACAAGAAAAAACAATATTTTTCCTTAATCTCTACGTTAAACCAAAGTTAATTAAGAACATAATGTACTAGAAATATAATTAATTTATTCCTCGTAGTTTCATTGAATATTCTTGCCTAGGGGCAGAACCAAGGGGTTCATCCCAAAACACGTTTGTCGGAAAATTATATTGTATATATAATTAAAGTCAAAATTATTTTATATGTATATATAATAGATCAGTAGATAGATGTTGAATCTCTTTAATTTCTTCGTATACGTACATTTTTATATTTAAACTCACTTAATGAAAATTTTGATTCTACCATTGTTCTAGCTAGTATGTTGGTTTCAAGGGGTGGGGGTGGTAGTCAAAATCAGAAAGACTAAAAACTTAAAAAATTAGTCTCAAAAGTTCATGTTCATAGATTATATATATATTCTTTAATTTTTGTTAGATGAGAAAATGGTCTAATTTGGTACGTGGTAATTATCAACCTTTTTACAGTAGAATTAATAGCAAGGACAAATACGAGACGATTTACAAATAAGGATGTTAATAAACCAAAAATGTAATGACAAATAAAATTATGCAATTTCAGATAATATAGACAAATTTAATTTTTTTTTCCTGATTATTATATTAATGTTCATTTTGATCATTACTAATTTGTTCCTTGGGCATATATAGTAATTATTATTAATTTCTACATTAGAATTTCCATGTTTTTTCCTCCTCGTACTTCTTTCATCGAATAATTTTCTTCAGGTGGGGAATGGTCTATTGATTGTTGGTCTATTCTATGTTCAAAACAATAAATTAGGAAATTAATAAAAAAAAAGAAACAATTATTTTGAGTCCATAAATTTCTTGTGTATTCTTAAGAAACTTAATCTAACTTTAACGAACTCAAATGACGAAGCGTTGGTCTATCTTTAATTAGAAATCTCAGATCTAAGCCTTATATATGAAGAAAAAAATCATATTGGGAGCACCACCCCCAAATAGATGATGTTGTATGCAATCCAAATTTAATCGGAGTTTCAATATGAACACTAGACACCAGATGAAAATAAATAAATAACGCAGCTAGGTAATATTCTTGTTAGTGATATCAGCCAAAACCTTTTGCCGTGTTTACTGTTTTATCTTTCAATTATTAAATACCAAAAAATTTCTTATTATCTTCTTCTTATTTATTTTATTTATTATTAAAAAAAAAAAGTTAACCATATATTCTATTACACATAAGATGTTAACTATCTTGAAAATTAGGTAAATATCTTTACTATAGAGTTTGAGACTATATTTATTTTTCTAGTATGTCTATTTCATATAGAACGCGTACTATCGTTAAGAACAAAAATGTCAATTGAAGGACCACAAGTGTTACACTTATATTGCTCCTTTCCGGTACTTGTACGCTATCGATCTTTAAAAAATAATTAAGGTTAGCAATGAATTTAATTTCTTACATAAAAACAATCATAATTTAAACATGTCATGTTTTACTGAAAAGGATTGCTTGTATCGATTATTGAAGAAAGAAAGAAACTTCACCATACTAGAATTAGATTAATCTTATTATAAAGTGAACTTTATTTTAATTTGTAAAGTCCAAAACAATTGTTAAACTTAATTAATTAAAGGGTTAAACTCAATTTTTGTATGATTCAATAATTCTTTTATGTGTCTACAATGATGATTTGTCTATAATTTTATCATTGTTACAAGAAATTGGCATGTTTACACTTATATCGCTTGCTTTTAATTTTACTCAAAATGTTGTACTCCCTCCGTCTCAAATTTTTTATCGTGATTCTCTTTTACACATCTCTTACGAATCATTAATTAGAAAGAATTTTATAAGTATTTTACCTTTCACATATATTTTTTTATTTCCTTTTTATTTCGTACCTTTCACATAATTTGAGACAACTATTTTTAGAAACTGTGACAGATAATTTGAGACCGATGGAGTATGATATTTTGCACGTATTCTTATGATATAAGGTTATGAGTTAGAATCTAGAATGTTCTAAATAAGTGCTTAGGTAGCAACGAGGAACCTTTATCTGAATTTAACTTTGTTATGAATGAAAATAATGAAAAAGATACTTTCATTTTCCACAAGGAGTTTGTTTTAGCTCTTGAATATTATAGTCATATTATTAATTTGTTCTGAATATTCTTTGATTTGGATTTTGAAAGATGTGATTTTCTGTTGGTAGTATATGGACTTCTTGTATAAACTATTGTCATGTAAAATTAAGAGAAAATTTCATAAATAGCTTTAGTTTAGAGCGTAATTACGAAATGTAGCTGCAATTATTGTATGGGTAGAAGAGTTGTGTCAGAAAAATATTAGTTGTATCAATGAAAGAGTTATATATATTCAGGCAACGGATAATAGTTGTATCAAATATTGTATCAGCACATAATGTATTGTCAGTTGAAAATGTATGAAAAAGTTGTATCTGCACATCTGTGTCTTTATAGATATTTAGCAAATTTATTTATACATACACATATGGAGTTTTGCAAAAAGCTATTAGATTCATGTGAATTTGTAATTGAGTAAAAAATAGTTAGTTGGTAATAAAAATGGCATAATAGATAAACATGTTCTATTGATTTCAACTGACGCAACATTTATGCTCTCTAACTTTGGGTGTGCACAAGCAAACACTTAAAACTTGTATAAATTTGGACAAGTAGACACACACGTCCTACATGACATAATACAAATCAGTTTGAGTACATCTCACGCAAATCATGTAAGACATATATGTCTACTTGTTCAATTTTATATGAGTTTTAGTACATACTTATGCATTCTGATCAAAATGAGAGGATATAAATATCAGCTGAACCCAAATTAAAAAATATGTTTATGTTTATGTGTTATGCCGCCAAATATTACATTTGGACATGCATTAGTAATTTGTGACAGTAGGAACAGGCTGTTTCTCAAGATGTTTATAAGTTTAAACAAGAAAAAAAAAACTTAGAAAACTTAGTTGCATTCTATTGGAATTATCTAACAACTATCCTTCTTGTTCTAATATATGCAAAGTCGGCCGAATATACCCCTTTCTATGACACCATAAACCTTTCATACTATATATATATATATATTGTTAATATTAAAAAAATTCCAAAATTGAACTTATTGTAATCTTGTCTCCAAGTCTATCGGAAATAACTTCTCTACCCCACAAAGATACGAGTAAATTGAACTTGTTGTAATCTTGTCTTCGAGTCTATCAGAAACAACCCCTCTATCCCAACAAAAATAAGGATATATGTTTTACCCTCCCTAAATCCCCTTGTAAAATTACACTAGTACGTTGCTGTAATCTTGTTCCTCTCTTCTTGTTTTGTCAATCATTCTTTTCAGTTTAATATATTCCATAAAAATATTTATGACTTGTTTTAGAGCACAACTTTCAATTTCATTATTGAACTTCACGCGCAGTCAAACAACGTAACATAAATTAGGATGAGGGAGGATATATATATGTTGATAATACTAAGGATTTCTAAAAATTGAACTTGTTGTAATCTTGTCCTTGTCTTATTCTTTCAAATCAATTCTATTAATAACCATTTCTCTACATTATATATCTTAGCATAAAAACTATAGTAGTTTGAGAAATATTACTAGTAATAATAACTATAGCTATTAGCTATGGCTAAAGATCAATTACAAGTACTAAATGCTCTTGATGTTGCTAAAACACAATTGTACCATTTTACAGCAATTGTTATAGCAGGAATGGGATTTTTCACAGATGCGTATGACCTTTTCTGCATTTCACTTGTGACTAAATTGCTTGGTCGAATTTACTATCATCATGAAGGTGCACCTAAGCCAGGAATTCTCCCTCCTGGTATCTCAGCTGCAGTCAATGGAGTCGCGTTTGTTGGGACACTCTCGGGCCAGCTGTTTTTCGGTTGGCTAGGTGATAAGATGGGAAGGAAAAGAGTTTATGGAATGACTCTCATGATCATGGTTATTTGCTCAATTGCCTCAGGTCTTTCTTTTGGTAAGACCCCTAATGGTGTGATTGCTACATTATGTTTTTTTCGATTTTGGCTTGGTTTTGGTATTGGTGGTGATTACCCTTTATCAGCAACGATCATGTCTGAATACGCGAATAAGAAGACTCGTGGAGCTTTTATAGCTGCAGTATTCGCGATGCAAGGATTTGGGATTTTGGCAGGAGGGATTGTTGCACTTGTTGTTAGTGGTGCATTTAAAAACGCGTACCCTGCTCCAATTTATTCTGTCAATAATGAAGGCTCAACCCCTCAAGAGGCTGATATTGTATGGAGAATAATACTCATGTTTGGTGCTATACCGGCTTTGCTTACTTATTATTGGCGTATGAAGATGCCTGAGACAGCGCGTTACACAGCTTTAGTAGCTAAGAATGCTACGAAGGCTGCTTCCGATATGTCTAAAGTGTTGAATGTTGAAATTGAAGCAGAGGATGATAAGATTGAGAAGATTGTTGAGATACAGGGGAATAATTTCGGGTTGTTTAGTAAGGAGTTTCTTTATCGTCATGGGCTGCATTTGCTTGGAACAACTAGTACATGGTTTTTACTAGATATCGCTTTTTATAGTCAGAATCTATTTCAGAAGGATATATTTAGTAAAATTGGATGGATACCTCATCCAGAGACGATGAACGCGTTGGATGAGGTATTCAAAATTGCAAAGGCACAAACTCTTATTGCTCTTTGTAGTACTGTACCTGGTTACTGGTTTACTGTTGCATTCATCGATAGAATGGGTCGATTTGCAATTCAATTGATGGGGTTTTCCTTCATGACAGTGTTTATGTTCGCGTTAGCCATACCATATAATCATTGGACTAAAAAGGAAAACAGATTTGGTTTTGTGGTCATGTACTCACTTACATTTTTCTTCGCGAATTTTGGTCCAAATGCCACAACTTTTGTTGTACCCGCGGAGATTTTTCCAGCTAGGTTGAGATCAACGTGCCACGGGATATCAGCTGCAGCTGGGAAAGCTGGTGCAATTGTTGGTGCATTTGGTTTTCTGTATGCTGCTCAATCTACTGATCCATCTAAAGTCGACGCGGGTTATCCAACTGGAATTGGTGTGAAAAATGCACTTATTGTGTTAGGTTGTGTGAATTTTCTTGGAATGTTGTTCACATTTTTAGTGCCAGAATCAAAAGGAAAATCATTGGAAGAAATGTCAAAGGAAAATGAAGGAGAAGAAGAAATAACTAAGGGGGAAACTGCACAAACGATTCCAATTTAATACATAAATGCGCCCTTTTAACATCATGAGATCAATATAGCAAGAGTTTTGAGGCTTTTTAGTAAGCTTTATGTTCTTGTTTTTGTATGTTATGATGAAATAATCATCTATTCTTTTTTGCTTTGTGGTTTTTTTTTTCTTGTGTAATTCTGCTAATCTTTGATGCAGGAGCTTCTGATTTTCTTTATGTTATAATAAAAACATTCAGTATAGTAAAATTAATCCTTCTATTTTTTTGAAAAGTTCGTAGCTTATTGCAGTCTATGGTGGTAATCTTTTATGGATTTCATTCTCTAAGTGTATGTCGCGATAAGAAATGATAATGCAAGGTAATCATTAAAGAGTATGTAATTCTACTTAAGTATTTTGAGTTCACGCATGGTTAGAAAGAACCGTAGCGCAAAAGGGTTTAATAAGGACAAACCGATCATGATGTAATATATCCATGATTGATTTCACATGCATCACGAATTCATAATATTAACCATCTCCACCAACTCATTAATCATTACTATCCGTCATCATTACCACTATCTACAACAACGTAACTATCATAAGTCAACACTACCACCAATCACCCCCATCAATCGGATCCCACAATTACCATCGTCAATATCTTATAATTTTTAAAAATATATTTTATTGACTTTAAAGGAATAAAAAAAAAAAGTCATCCTTCAAAGCGCAACTTGAAAAAGATTGATTTCAAGTTCCCCTACACAAAAACAAAAGAAAGGTTGCCTTTTGTTTCAGTCATTGACAATTTAAATACCATAATTTGTCTTCTTAGTAAAATTGAAGAGAAAAAAACAAGAAAATAAAGAGAGAAAGAGATTCTTTTTAAATTAGACTCAAGATATATATATATATACCTTTGGAAAAGCGTACCAAGTTTATTGTCTTGGCTTTGTTGTCTTGGATAAAAGCTACAAAGACTTTTTACATCAACATGATTAGAATTTTAAGAGAAGGCAACTAAACTTACCATATGTCCCTTGTTGCTTGCTTGGCCTGCCTAATAGCATGTCAGCATTAATGTACTAATGTATAAATATGAATTAAATAACTTTACTCGATAAAATTTGCTTTGTGGAGTGGTGGTTTGAACTTTACTTTGCACCATTGGTCGCAAGTGCGAAACTAGTTATCCCCTTTGCAACATTTAAACCAGTGCATCCATAATTTTTCAAAGTTAACGAGTGCACGTGCACTCTCAAGAGGACACATGGGTCCGCCTCTGACTGGCAACCATCTTGGGTTCAACCCACTTCTCTTTGTCGCAGTCCTATATGTGGATTGGTCAACTCTGATACCAATGTTATAAATCAAATAAGAGAGTCTAATAGGTGGGAGAGACCATTTAGCTTATAAATCTATGTATAAAACATTTCTATTGACCTCATTGGTCGCGGGCTTGCACCCTTCTTGGATCCCACACTCCAAGTCGTGGCCCTATACGTGGATCGACCAACTCTGATACCTATATTATAGACCAAATTGGAGAGTTCAACCCAAAAAACACTAGCATAAATCATATGAACATTTATCAGAAATCTATTTCAATAAATAAGAACATACTTTGAAGCATAATAAGTGAAATTACAAATAGTTTCAATTTGGATATGGGTTGTCATTATCATAGAAGCACACACAAATTGATATTTTTGCATTGCCTTTTACTATAAGACATTGTGAAGTAGTATAAAATCCCTCATACTTTGCTTCACAATTGGATTGGCAAATTGGTTCTTCTTCAGTACAAGGAAGAGAAACATTAGTCTGTGATTGACATACAAATCTTTGCATTAGTACTTGTAGAGAGAACCTGAGTCATCACGAACATAACTACAAAATCAAAGTTATAATAAAACTTGTGTTATAAAAAAGACGTACGTATGTAACAATAATAACATATCTAGTGTATATAGTCTTACGTACAAAGTGGTGTACGGGAGAGTCACGTACCTTACGGCCTACCTTAGCAGTAGAGAAATTGTTTTCAGTACAAGGAAGAGAAACATTAGTCTGTGATTGACATACAAATCTCTTTACATTAGTACTTGTATAGAGAACCTGAATCATCACAAACATAACTACAAAATCAAAGTTAATATAAAAAAACTTGTATTATAAAAAAGACGTACGTATGTAACAATAATAACATATCCAGTGTATAAAATCTTACGTATAAAGTGGTGTATGGAAGAGTCACGTACCTTATGGCCTACCTTAGCAGCAGAGAGATTGTTTCAATAGATTTACGTGTGTTTGAAAAGCCAAAAATTAGCATATAACTAAAACATACCACAAATATAAGCATGAGAAAATTGAAACGGTAGGAAAATATACCAAAGTTCTCCATTGAAGAATTTTTTGTTTTTATAAAGTATTCTTCTGACTTATTTTTTACACATAGCTATAACTTAAGAGAATGTAAGAAAATAATATAAATAATTCATCATTATAGGAGTTTATCTGAAGAAATCAGATTTGGATAATTCATGATTATTTTGACTAATATTAGTCAATATTAATGATTTTACCCTTTTACCCTTAATAAAAATAATTTATACTCTTTTAAAAAAAAATGATTTATAGTCACACAAACATCTACTATTGCTTATATTTCAAATCAGTCTTTCTTTCTTAAATTTCATATCAAGTCAAACTACATCACATAAATTGAAGCGAGGAAATATTATAAATTAGGGGTAAGTCAAATAAACTTTGGGGAGCGTACATAGGTTGGTTATAACTAATTAGATGACTCAACAAAAAATAACACATCGAAAGCTCACAAAACCAATTATTCATTTGATACTACTGATTCGATGTTGTCCAATTATTGAAAAACACATATAGTATTATTCAAAGATAATTACTAACTCTTTTTTGAAAAATTAAACTTTTTTTTTTAATAAAAAAAATAAACTTTTACATTATAACATATAGTATAAGATTGAATTTGTACAATTAATAGTTTTCCTTATTATTTTTGCAAGGAAATCCTCCTTTTAATACTACATTTGTCAAAATAATTATGGCATTTCTAAATTTGGCTTCATCAAGAAATTTCTATATTAGGATGCATTATATCTTATTTTTACAATCTCTTAATTGTAGTTCTAGTATAAAAGATAAGTGAAATGATTATGTGTGTCTCTCCCTAGCTTCAATTTTTTCATTGCTTACATTTGTGGTATGTACATATCATCTATATGCTTTACTTTTCAACTCGAATATGTCTTTTCATTTTTGTTATATATATATTTTTAAAAAGTAAGAAAAGAAGAAGACACACTCGAAACGAATATCCAAATCTCTTCTCTTAAAAAAAAAAGTCGTCTAGTGGTCAATGTATTGGAATATAAATTATAGAAGAATGTGATTCATAGTAACGATGCTAGCAATTCAAATTAGACGATTCAGAAGAATGTGATTCATAGTGACTATGCCAGCAATTCAAACTTGTGAACCAAACCTAATTTTAAAATCCTTTCCCATTACATTGAAAACATCCCTCTTGTCTATACGAAAAAAAGAACAAGTTATTTTTATCCTGAACTTCCTTCATTACAATTAGTAAATTGAGTCTATTTGGATGTCTTTATATATATAAGCTGACTCAAACATCGTTGTTATCTAATCTACGAGTGTTATAAGAATATTATTTCATAACAACACTAATTCTATTACTTGATTTTGCAGCCATGTTTGTGATGATTCAAGTTCTATCTACAACTAATGCTCAATTAGTATGTTCATCACAATCAAGTGCTTCTCTTCCTTGTTCTCAAGAACTTACAATTTGCCAAACAAATTGTGTCTCAGATTATGGGGCATTCTATCTTAATTCAGAGTGTCATGATGTAGAACAAAACAAATCTATTTGTGTATGCTACTATAATAGCCCCTCCAAATGTCCAAAATAATAGATTTTTTTTTTCAAGTATTTGTAATTGCATCGAGAATCGTCTCTACGAAATAACAGGTGGTCTGCATCAAGCTTTTTTTCATTATAGTTTCTCTTCATAAATACCAATTAAAATAATTTGTATTTTGCCCATGAAATATAGATATAGCAACCTAATCTTAAAGCTACTTGAAAGTAGATTCAACTAAAGTAAGACTAAGACCAATAAACTTAATAGAGTTGTAGAAAATCATGTGTGTCTTTATCTAAGTTAATAATACAGTTGAAAAAACTGTCTAACTTATTGTGGTTGGTAGTAAAAGAGAACTAATTCATGCATGATGATCTTTTTTTAGTGCTCACGATCTCTGTATGAAAAGTTAGATCAAAATATAACAAAAGGAAACACTAGTTTGATGATTCACAATTTCACATATATTTTGGTAGAAGATATATAAGACAACTCTCTTAATTGATTAATACTACTTTAACACATTAATACTACCAACATGGCATGCATCTGTTCCACCCTAACTAAATGTCTCGGATTCGAGTTCTGGAAATGGAGAAAATCATGTTGGGTGCGTCACCCCAAATGGGTCCTGCATTTAGTCGGAACTCCAATGCAAACACTGAACACTGGGTGGAAAATCGGGGAAAAAAAAGCCATTATACTTCATTCTCACTACTAAGAAGTATGAGTTATCTGCACATCTATTGATAATGTTGGATTAGAGGTCCAAATAAGGGGTCGAAATTCTCAAGCTACGACACCATCTTCTTTCGTCCCATCATTGCTAGTGATCCATGGATGCCCTGTGTATTATTATATATCATCTTATTAACCAAGAAAATAACTAAATTACTATTTTTAAAAATTCAAATTATATGCATTGAAATCTGAAGCACAAATTTTTTTAGACCATTTCAAAAACAAAAGTTTTTATAGTGATCACACATTTTAAAAGTTTTATATACTAAAGATAAAATTAATTCATAAAAATATGATCTACCCAACACGCCTAAATTTAGGTAGGTCAATGACTCGTAGCCCAAATTATGCTCAAATTTTTAATGGATTAAGAATGATATGTAAAGTACTTCATTTTTTTATCTAAGAAAATTAAAAATGTCATTTTCTTCTATTCAAATCGTAGAGGCAAAGAAATCTCATTTTTCTCTCCTCTTTTTTTTTTTTTTTAAATTCAATTCCGTTGTTGAATGCACAAAGGTAGAATCCTAAATCCTAAAAGAATTCAAGTCCAAACTAGACTTCAATTTGAATTATTTGATCCTAGATTAAGGGAATAATTATTTTATTAAGCATATAGGTATGTCTTAATTTAATTATTTTAAATTTGTGATTAAAAGATTTGGTCAAATAAATGAATGTTGTAATCTAGGAAAAAATCGAGGCTAGAAGAATGATAGAGTGGTGATACTTACGAAGGACTTGTTCAGCTGAGAATCTTCTAGAAATATCTTTACATAGCATTCTCCGTAGCAAATCCTTCGCCGCCAGCGACACAGATCGGAAAATCCTCGTCGGAAACCTAAGGTTCGCTCTGAGAACAGCCTCAAAAATCTCCTCCGTAGAGTCACCGTAAAATGGCGGGATTCCGGCCAACATTATATACAGAATGACACCAGCACTCCAAATATCTACCTTCTCATTGTAATCTCTTCCAGCTAAAACCTCCGGCGCCACGTAATACGGCGTCCCTACCACTCCGCTCATCAGCTCGCCTTCGCAGAAACACTGAGCCGAGCCAAAATCAGCCAATTTCAGTTCGTTCCAGTCGTTAAACAGAATGTTATCCGGCTTGATATCCCGGTGCGCTACGCCGAGCCGGTGACAATGCGCTATTGCCTCCATCAATGGAACCTAGAAAAACAGTTGATCCAAAAATTATCAATGCTGAAGACAACAAACAATAGAAAACCCTATCTTATATACATCAATCCTGTTCCTCCCTTTATCACACCTCATTTACTACTCTCACTTATTTAATCATCAATTTGACAAACTTTCGATGAAAAGTAGTACTACATTTTAGAAATTTCAGTCAAAATCATTTAATTTGAATCTACAAAAACACAAGTGCACTAAAATTCACAGATCGTTTTCCCCTAATTTGTGTAATGGACTGAAAGAGTACCATAACGGCAATGGCATCAGACTCAGAAAAAACTCGTTGAGTAGAGAGTCGATGGAAGAGATCTGAGGAGTTGCAGAGCTCGAGAACGATATCGAGGTACGTATCGTCTTCACAGACATCGACGATACGAACGATGTGAGGATTAGGGGAAACCAAATGCATGATTTTAGCTTCGTTGTAAAGACATTGACGATCGATTGAGTCATCGGCGATGAGAACCTTGTTGATAGATTTCACGGCGAAAGTCTCGCCGGTTACCGGCGAGTAACACTTGAAAACGACGCCGAATCGTCCTCTCCCTATTTCCTCACACACACGATATTCTCGCTTCAGTTCCTCGCTCATAACGTTTTCTGTTTTCATCGTTTCCGTGAACACTCAAATTTCTCTTTCTGATGGACTTATATAGTACTACTGAGAGTCGAATATTCTTTGGAATCTCTTTCCACCAATCAACATTAGACATCTGGTTTTCTTTTTTTATATTTTCGAACGTCCAATATTATTTTTCTATTTTTTTTCCCTTAACATTATTACTTGTACACATATACTAAAATTAATAGCAAATATTTCATAATTTGATTTCTCGTTTTTACTTGTCATTTTTAACAAATCAATAAAGGACAGTTTAGTTTTTCCTATTATGCCTTTAATTTATTAATATTGAGTTAATGTATTTAGAAAATGTATTGAATAAATATATTTTTGTGACCTATTGATTAATAGAGATAAAATGGTAAATTCATTATACGAATTACTATTTTTTTAATAAATGTGTCAAGTCAAAATTTGACCAGTAAATAAGGATGGGAAGAGTATTAATCATTATTTCTTAACCAGTGTGTAAAGGCCACAACAAGTAAAAGTGAAGAGAGAATAACTATTTCACGAACAATAGCATTAAAATAGGACGATGTTTTATTTTTAACTTTCTTGAGAAAAAAAAATCAAATTAAACTTTTAAAAAGCGAAATACATGATAATTATATCAAGATAAAGGAAGTAATTGTAAGTAATAAACAAAGTACAGTACAATCACAAATCGAAAGTATTGCTCCAAATCCTTTTTTGGAATCACTAAGAAACAAAAATTATGTTTGTCATAAACTTATACTCCCTCTGTTCCATTTTATGTGACACTTTTCGAATTTTGAGATTCAAACAAGTTTATTTTTTACCATAATTTTTTCATAAATCTTTTAAACATTTTGAATTATCAATTATTGTGACTTATATAGTACATTTTAGGTAGTTTACAAATATATAAATTCTTTCCAAGGTAAAAAATGAAATGGATCGGATCCAAATTGCATGCAAACTAATTTGTACATTATCATTATAGAAAAATAAAATAAAATCTAAGGGCGATTAAACATAATCAATGGAGTTTTGTCCAGCAATTTATTTCTAATGTCTTAGGTATTAACATCAAACAATGAAATGCAATTTGTACTCAATAGAATAAACGGTGGGTTACTTTGTAAATGACGTATTTAAAAAGAGAGAAAAAAATCATACTTTTATGCATAAAACAACAGTTTTTTTTCCTAAATAAAGAAACACAAAATATTTGGAGAAACAAGTCCATATTAAGAACTATATTTGGGGTCTAAAATAGTTGTCACATTTTCTTTTTCAGAATTAATTTGACTAATTTTTAAAATTAAATTAGATTAGATCAATTCAATATTTTAAAATTAAAATTTAGATATTTAATGTCTATATAAAAAATACTATAAGTTACACTTTTTATCTTTTCAATATGATGAAAAAATATTTCTTGAAATATTAATCAAAATTCATATAATTTGGCTCTTGAAAACAAAATTGTAACAAGTACTTTGGAAAGAAAGGAATATTAAATTAAAGTTTGAGAATAGACTTGCCTTTGCTTGATGTAGAAACCCTTTAGGCATGGACATGAGTTGAGAAAATGGCCAAAAGTCTTCCCAACCTATAGTCAGATTCCCAACTATACACCTATACTTTACGATAATTCTATTACTCCCTTGAATTATTTTAAAATAGAATTATTGTCACCTTATATGCTGAGGTGGCAAAGAAAGTGTATTCACTTCCTCAAAGAGAGTAAGAGACACTTTTTTTTTATTAAAATTTAAAGTTTGCAAGTAATTTTCCTTTTTCATATTAAGTTTCTAATTTTTATTTTTTTTAAAATTATGTTATCTTTCTTTTTAATTTTTTTTGTCTTCTTTTTTTCTTCAAAACTTCTCCGAAAAATGCCATAAACTTATTTTATTATTCAGCTATCACTAATCATATCTTTCTCCTCTCTTTTTTTCCAAAAGAAATCAACTCTCCTTCTTTTAATCATAAACTTCAATTTTTCATTCTCACATACTAAGTTTACCATTGCCATACCGCTATGTTCACCTCTTTTTTTCCATATCTATCATAGTACGTGTTGTTATTGAATTTTGAGTAATAGCAAATTAAGAAATATTTAAAAGTGAGACGGATAGATTAATTTCTAAAATGCTAAAAAATACTTTTCGTAGACAATGACCATGATAACGAAATTAAAAATAGCAAAAACATTTTTTTATACTTCAAATCACAAATTCAATTTAAATTTGCCATCATATCCAACTCCAATTGCGACCCACTTTTTGGAAACTACTTGACCACACGAACTTATCAATGCTGCCATCTAATTCTTCGGTTGGCAAAATCAAATTCGATTCAACGATATTATCATTATTACTTGAATGAAAATTCACTAAAATTATGAAAAGAAAATAAAATAAAAAATAAATAAAGCATATAAAGAAGAAGAAAGAAAGAAGAAGGATGTGCTTCTAGGTTTCATATCAATGGAGAAAAAGTTGGTGTCAAAGAAAAGTCAAAAGAGGATTAAAAACAAAAGAAAAAAAGAGAAAGGAAAATATAAAATAAAGACAAAAATTAATAACTTTTTTACTAAAAAAAAAGATGTGGCAGGCGAGTGTATCTCTCTACTTAACATAAATTTCAAGGGGTATATATTTCACTTTAAAAATGTTCAGGGGATAATAGGACACCCTTGAAGTTAGAGTGTGTAGTTGGGATCAGATATAGATGGGGGGGGGGGGGGGGGGGGGAGGTAGACCATTTTCTCGACATGAGTTTGTTGAAATTTGAAAAGTTAAAAACGTATGTGAAGTTAAAGTTAAAATAAAAAAGTTGAAATTATAGTTGAACATGAACTTCCCTGCTTATAAATATTTCGTGGCTATTTTCATATATATTTTGATGAGTCGATGAAAAAATAAAAAAGATAGTAATGTTTTCATATAAAAACAAAATTAGAAAGTCTCTCGCTATTTCAGTAAGAATGTGTTTCCCACTATATATTTTCTCAGTGAACTGATTCGCTAGAAAATTAGTGGAACAATTGCATTCTATAATACAAATTTCCTACTAATTCATGGTAGGAGAAACCCTTATTCCTAGTAGTGCTAATTTCCCTAGATAAAAGTTATTTTAATTATATATTTGTATATAATTAAAGGATTATTTTTAAGCTTGACAATATCATCAATAACCAATTGCACCAAGCGCGGGTAGATTAGCTAGTTATAAGAATACACAAGCACTTCATACCCAAAGTAGAATGTGTTATCATTTTCTCAAAACTAGGTGACCTCTTTTCATCTTTTATTACTATGAAAATACTAGAGAAATTCCATATTCAAGATTACATATGCATGGTTTATATACTAAACAAAGCAGAGATTAAACCATGAATCTGAGCTGCTTCACGATGAGTTCTATCACGTACTATGTCAAACAAACTACAACCTTGCTACGATTAAGAGGTAGTTATATCGTCATTCCACTGCATATGTTGATTCAACTATCTGTCTCCTATTGAACATTTTCGAAAGAGGCAGATGTTTGGAGATGGTGAGGGAATCATCGCGTTGTAGCTTCTGCAAATGTCAAAGAACACAGGGTCCGGTCATGATGATTAAAACTAGAACAGAGACGAGACGAGACGAGAGATTGAAGTGAAGCTAAGCTCTCCTGTTTTGAATGGAACAATTAAATAGACAAACAAAAACTCAATCTTAAGGTGTTTGTGTCTTACCATTTTTGCACGAATTGATTTCTGTGTCAATCTCTTCTTCCTTTTGTAGCTTCACATGTGATGATGCTTCGTCATCAAAGGATTTTCTGTCGTGAGACATGGTAATTGTTCGAGGTACAGAGAATGAGTTTCTGCTGATGGTCATCTGTTTTTTCATAGAAGAGGATTCTGCAGTAGAGCACAAGTCACCGTCCACGTTTGACATTTTGATCCTTTCATTCTTGTAGCTAAGCCTGTTATCGTTGAGCTTCTTTGTATCCTCTTCGGGCTTTGGTCTCTTTTTATATGTATTTTGCATTGATGGCACCCTTTGATCATAAGATGAACTGCTCGGGCAAGGCATCTTTCCCTTTACAACGTCGTCCTTAGGGATATTGGCTGAATCTCCAACATTTTCTGAGTTATCAAACACAACTTCAATGGTTCCACTTGCATCTGAAGCATTCACAGCTGCTTCTTTTTCTCTCATGATGAATATAGCTTGCATTAAACGATCCCTCGCAACATCTACATCAATTATGGGGTTCGGATAATTCATTCCGAGTTCCACCCCTGCAGCTTTGAGCACATTAGGTGGTGCATCCCAAGGATGATGGATCCACTCAGCTGGCATTCTTGCTAGCTCAGGTAGCCAATGCCTCACATATTCACCCTCCGGATCATAATTGAATCCTTGAACCTGCATGAAGAGTTGATGGAACTTAAATAAGCTCGCAACTGATCAACTAAATATCCCAAGAATACACCATGCTTTTAACTAGGTATAAAAAGAGCGGTTTTTTTTTCTCAATATCGATAAAAGGCCTTCATAAATAGAGTCGAAAATGTCTAGTTGAATGAAGGAAAGAGGTATGTTTTCTTGATTTTGGCATGGTTGTGCCGTCTCTTGATAGAGGCGGATCCAGGATTTAAAGTTTATGAACATAAAGTTTAGTCAAAGCTACTGGATTCTGCTGAACTCGTAACTTCTATTGTGGTTGTGCCATAAAAATAATAGAAAAAACAAAGCCATGCCAAGAAACATCATCTACTATGACATTTACATCAACAACATAACATACCTCTGGGTTATCGAGGCGCTCAAGTTCATGACCATCGGGCAAGCTACCCGAGATATATTGCCAACCAATGATATCACTTTCTAAATCCGCGTCCAATAGTGTATCCCAAAAGTACTTCATTCCCCATTGCCATGGCAAAAGTAAAAACTTTACAAAGAAACTTGACACAATCACTCTTATTTTATTATGAACCCATCCCGTTGCCCAAAGCTCCCTCATTCCTGCATCGACTAATGGGTAACCAGTCCGTCCCTGTCGCCAAGCCTTAAAATGGGCTTGATCAGCATTCCAAGGGAAAAACCTCAGGTTGTTCAGTAACGATCTTTCATGAGTAAATGGGAAATTAAAACAGATATAGCGAGAATACTCTCGAAGCCCAATAGCTCTAAGGTAAATAGTGGCACTGTCTTTTCCAACAGAGTTCCCTTCTTTGGTCCAAAGTATCTGCTTCAAGCGCACACTGTTGAAAACTTTCCTCACACTTACTTCTCCGAAGTGAAGATAAGGAGACAAAAGGGATGTAGAGTTTCCCCCGACTCTCAGCCTATCCTTTGAGTACGCGAGTAGATTGCTCTCTACAAATTCGGTTAAGGCCTTGTCTGCATTGCTCCAACCTGGTGTCCATCCTTTCCCTAGTAATGCATTACTAGATTTTTCCGACTCGTTTTCCAGTCCCAATTCCTCAATTGAACACATTTTAACCGATCCTGTCAATGAGGGAAATGAAAATTATCAGGTTTACTATGTGCATTTAAAATATAAAACATCTGAGAAATTGTAAACATCCATATTGACAATATTCACCAAGTTAATGTAAACAAGAAGGGGAGCGTTGGCGTAACTAGTAAAGTTGTTGCCATGTGACCCAGGAGGTTACGGGTTCTCAGACATACCTGCAGCTTGAGTTAATCTCCAAGGAGGAAGGTGGGAACCAGATTCGTTTTGTATACTTAACGACTTCTCCCAGTATGCATCAAAAGTTGTAAAAACTTTTCCATCATCATCGTAAACTTCCCATGGTTCATTCAGTAAGTCCCCGTTGTAGCTCTGAATAGATATGCCAAGTTCCCCCAACTTTTGCTTGATATTGTGGTCACGAACAAGTGAAACAGGATCTACATCAAACAGAAAATTGATCATGTAAGTACTTCCTCAGAATCAGATACCGGGCACATGGAACTCAAATATTCAAGTACCATTTGGCCTTCTAGGAATTCGATTTTGAAAACTTCTACGAGTTGTGCAATAAACTCCAAATGATCTTATGTTTGGTTGAATACCAAGTGAACTCTGTACAATTCTATTAAATCTAAACGATGCAGCACGTGGTATAGCTAAGATAAGACCTATCAATATTGATACCAGAAATCAAGTGCTTGCAAATTGAACACATCAGATCAATACCTAATATCTATAGCCATATATACTTCAAATTTCACACAAACACACACACACATGTATATGTTTGTATGAACATATATATATGCTGTGTATCAACCCTCTATTTATAGTCTTCCATATTCTATCACGCTACCAGACCTCACTTATAGGATTACACTAGGTATGTTGTTGTATATTCTACCACGCTAACAAGAACAAGAACAAAGCTAATCGGAGCTTGTTTATTAGGGCAGTTAGATCCATAACATTAGCTCACGACACATATTAGCAATAACATGACACTTTCTCCAGAGATATAGAGCAGCAACTCTAACTGTAAAGGCCAAAGGAAAGTTACTACTAACCATATAGATGATTATACACAACTTTTGTTGCTCCAACAGCATCGACACATTCCGTGAGAGCAGAAAGTGTACTCTGAGCTTTGATCAACACAAGTTCAGCCCCAAGAGATTTCAAAGACTGTTTCAAGTGAATCAGAGATTGCTTCAGCCACCATCTTGAAACTCTACCGGGATAAAATTGCCCTTCTTCCTTTGGACACCAAATAAACACCGGTAAAACACTTCCATTCCTAGCAGCAGCAGCTAAAGCTGGATTATCTTCAATTCTCAAATCCCTCCTAAACCACACAATTGTCTGGAATTGCTCTCCATTTCCAACTAGTTAGTTTTCACAGATCCCACAAAATTGGACAAAACCAAACAATCCCCAACAAATATCTTCACTTCAACTCTTCACTCCAAATCTCAAAATATGATAAAAATCCAATCTTTGCTCAAAATTTAGTCCAATTTCTCATCATATTCCCAAGAAAACTAGCACACTTAGTTAAAAATCCTATTTTATCAAACCCCAACTAAAGCCAACCAATACTAATACTCATGAAATCAAGATTCCCACAAAATTGGACAAATCCAAACAATCCCCAACAAATATCTTCACTTCAGCTCACCCCAAATCTCATAATATCATAAAAATCCAATCTTTACTCAAAATTCAGTCCAACTTTTCATCATATCCCCAAGAAAACTAGCATACTTAGTTAAAAATCATATTTTACCAAAACCCAAGTAAAGCCATCACAAAAAATTTCAAACCCCAACAAATATCTTCACTCCAAATCTCATAACATCATAAAAATCCAATCTTTACTTAAAACTCACTCCAATTTCTCATCATATTCCCAAGAAAACCATCAAACTTGTTGAAAAATCATATTTTTCCAAAACCCCAAGTAAAGAAAACCACCACTAATACTCAAGAAATCAAAGATCAATCTCACCCATAACAATAATTCCACAAGAAAATGTCAGAAGAGAACCAATAAGAGATTTACTACTGAAATTTAGTACCAAGATTGTGTTTAACCAAGACAGTATAGATCAGATAAGACAAAATCTAAGAACAACAATAGGGAACATCCCACATGGAGTATTAAAATCTGCTGAGATGCAAAAAAGGGAAAAAGATAGTAAGTAGTAAAAGATTAGACAAGTGGAATGGCCTCAAAGACAAAAGTCCAATGGCAGCAGTTCTCTAGAAGAATAATAATCCTAAAAAAATGTCATCTGCAGGACCACCAAACCAATTACAGCAAAATGAAAAATTAAATAAAATATCATAGGATTAATAACTTAATAAAATATTCAACCTCATACAAACTTTAGGATTGATTTCATACTAATTATAGTATCTAGCAACAAGATTCATGCATACTTTTTAGGAGGAAGTCTTGGAGCGATGTTAAAGTTGTCTTTGTGTGACATGTATATACTTGAACCGTGAAAACAGTTACTATTGCTTATTAGGATAGGTTATGTGTCTCACATTTCTTGAAGTGTGACATTCTTTAAATCCTAATAACGTGAGATGTTTTGTATGCGAGACGATCATTTTTTTAATTAAAAAGTATAGGTAATAATAGCATCTAAAGAGTTTTTTTGTTATATTCTCGTGGTTGCTCATGAGAAATTATACCTTAAACTCCTATGCATTTTTGCATACTACATGAGAATACATATTTGAGAGTACTACTTTGCATCTTTCATGTTTGAAGGAATAATTTAAAGTTGTAGAAAATCAAATTTGTTTAAAATTTGGTATTTTATAAGCTTATTTAGTTTATATCTAGTTAGAATTTGTGGTCAAATTCATATAAAAATAAGTTTACTTAAAGGTCAATATTCTTTTGCTTTTCTACTATATACTTTTTTTTTACATAATTATTGTACTATGACATAAGTATTCTAAATGACAATGTGGTGATGTGTAGGTAAGTGTATGATTGAAAATATTTTTCATCCAATTTAATGACAGGCGTGTTCCGGAGAATCTAGAGATAGATATGGTACGATATCAAAAAAATTATTTTTTATTTTTTAAAATATAATATTATTACGATACCAAATTAATCCAATATAATTCAATGTTTTTAAGTTATTTTTAATATTTTACAATACGATAAATTACTCACTAATCATATTATGATCAACTTCGACTTATATATAATTATATATAACAGAAAATTATGATTTTAAGATAAACAAGTAGATAAGATTGAGCTATTTACACATGGGAAATTGAAAGTCAAATGCTAGCATAATTTTCTTTTAGAAGCTAATTATTTAAGCCCCTCAATTTATAATATTTTCACTAAAGCCATATCCTCTAATAGTAGCAAATTAGCAGTTTCTTTTTTATATATTTAGAGAAAACAATACTGTGTTCATCATTACACAATAATTTTCCAGACATGTCGTACATAATCTTAACAATTTATTTTGTTTATGTAGCAGAGATTTTTGCCGGTACAATAATTGTCTAATAATTGTTGTGTGAGTGCCATCCTTATATTTTTATCGCAACATATATACCTTTTAGACCACGATTTAAAAATTCATGTTAGCAACAATCTAATAACATGAGTATAGGACATGCATAAAACTAGTCAATTTATGGTGAATCTTCGTAGTACATGGCTTGTATAGCGACCAAAAAACGCGCTGTAGTTTCAGCTAAAGATCTATTTAACTATCCCCCAACAGATTGACAAGATAATTATGTCAGTTATGAGAGGAAAAACAACAGAAAAATCATCGGTCAGATACTAACACCACATAATATTCATTGCGTAGACATACTGAAGAATTTGATAACCATTCACATACAGAACACCATACTCGTTTCTCGACTGGGAAGCATCATGAGAATGAGCGAGCTCATAACCAGAAAACATGATATATATACTATCATGAGTCGTCTGGTAATCAGCAACCCAAGCGCCGAGTTATTTATGCCAATATAGTTAAGTAGATCGAGCCTTGTAAGACGCGATTACACAGAAATATTATGAATGGTTGGTTCATAGTAGGATGTTTGATCAATCAGTAAGCGCGTTCTTTGAGCACTTCAAGTTCTACTTCAGTAGGGTCAGTAGCTTGAATCTCATAGTGTATGCCTTCCAGCTCCCTCCTGAACCTGTCCTTAGATGTGGCATACAACATCTTCGATCGGATTCGGGAAACAGACGGAGACCTGAAAAGGATGGATTAGAATATTCACCTCTTTCATACTTGAATTAATCCGATGAAATAATTACCCAAAGTAAAAATCTATGTTGCTCGGACTCTCCAAATATGCACTACTTTTGACAACATTTTCCTACCGAAGACGTCCCTTCATTTCTGTCGTGTTTCTTGTCATGTTTTAGTTTGTCTTGTCAAGGAGAAGGACCAAGGACTTTGCAATAAGAATATAAGAATCTATTTTAGATACAACACTGGAGAAACTTTCATATTCTCGAAAGGATATATTGCGAGTACACAACAGATGAGAAATTAAAAGAACTAAAGTAAATAAATAAATAGCTTCAAATGGAACTTGGTCTAACCCAAAACCAATATAGAAACTATCCTTAGACACATGCCAAGACTCAAATGAAAATCCAAAATTAGCCAAATAATTAGTCTCTTCTACTGACGGAAATATACTCGCTCTGCAATCCCCATTACGCAAAGGATAATTTCCATAAATCTTCAGACCTTATCACAAGAACTTACGTCACAAAATTACCCTTAAAAGAAAAACACTGTCGTACCGTCTACCCCAATACATGGGGAATTTCTTCATCCTCCTAAAACTTCTAAATATAATCCTGCTGGGTCTTAAAGTTCACTGCAGAAAGAGTGATACATACCTAACTAAGCGCTAGAAACAATTTTCTTACAATGATATGCTAGGCACAAAATAACACACTCTAGTTATAGGAAAAATGAATTCTTAAAGACCCTGAACCCAACTATTCTTCACCTCGATTTGTCTCGACTGCAAAGTAGTCTCTAAAAAGATATGGTTCCTCGTAGCATCAGCAATTCCTTTGCTGGTCAGTTTTCCACCTTTTCGCAATATGTGCATGCAAGTTTTACTCATATGGCTATTCTCACATTCTCAGTACTATAACATTTTCTCAAGACACTGACGTTCACTTCGCATGTACCTCAAGTATTCGACCACTACAGCTGTCAACTTTACTTCTCAAAAGCGCCCTTCTTTCAAACCTAAGCCACATACATAATAACACAACACAAATGGTCCCCTGACCTCTTGCTCTCTCTACGATTAACTCAACTGTTTCAGCCATCACAGACACTCCCTTACAGTGCTACCATCATAATTGCAATTCACATCGTCATGAGCTAGTTATATTCCATAAAGGAGAAAAACTATCCATCAACTATTCCATTTTACTCTCAAATCACTCCCTCAATTGGTTTGACACTAAAGCTTGATACTTGTAAATTTGAATGTGCCTGCTCTGTTAAAATCATTAATGTGGTGACTTGACAACATTGTAGATAATTTGGAACCAACATTCATAAATGAGAGCAAAATTCCCCTTGCACATATAGACTGAAGTTATGATAAAACAGCAACCAACACCCACCCCCCCCCCCCCCCCCCATGTTTTCTTTTGAAAATTGGAATCCCTATTCTAGACTGCTGAATAGTGCAGCAACATTCACAGAGAACTGTATAAGCATATGAAATCATGAAAAGAGTCTTAAACATCTACAGTATAAGGTGGGACACGTCTCTTTGATGAAAATCCAGTTATGCAAGTTCTGGATGAAATTATAACTTACCAGGCAAAGAAGAAAATTTTGCTCTTTTGGCAGTTGTCAGGTGTCACGAAGTCATAATCGTATACTGCATATCGGCAGTCGTTCTCAGGAAGAGCTGCAGTGAAATCATCATAGCTCTCAGCTGGACCTCCAGTTTTCTCAACCACAACCTCATTTTTCTTCTCATCGATCATAAATATCACATATCGATGCACCTTCTTCCTTTGCAGTTCCATATAAGTAGCTTTGCTTTGATCAGCAACCCCCATGCCAGAGGATGCATTTGTCTAGTAGCACAACAAATGTTCAATAAATTTGCTCTAAAGAAGAACCACAGGTATAATAATAGAACAAAATTTGTACACGTAGTTTGTATGGTTAGAATGATGAAACATAGATATATAGCATACTAGCCCTTGACTGAATTTCGTTTCATCAAATCCCTTCAGAAGTCAAATGAAGAAAATCAAAGAATGAAGTCTCTAAATATGGAAGAATCGCACCCAAAGGTCAATGAAGTGGTTGAGAGCCAACACATCTCAGGTTCAAATAAAAAAAAAAACTAGGTCCCATCTGTCTAGCCTTGGTGGACAGAGTTACCTAGTACTTGTTGGTGGTGGTAGGTAGAAGGTATCCCGTGGAGATGTCCCGGACACCACGGTCATCAACTGGTTTCCATTATGAAATATGGACTTCCAACACCAACTCCAACTCCTCGTGACTAAATAGATCTCTAATCACCACCGCTCCCAAACCCACCAAGATAAAAGGCAAAAACCTCAAACAAAACAAGTTTGCTCAACCTATTCAAAACTTAAATCCTCAATGATTTCTCAACTTCAAAACTACAACAATAACATACTCGGTATAATTCCACAAGCATGGTCTAGGAAGGGTGGGTAGAGATGTTGTTTCCAATAGACCCTCGGCCTGGGCTCAAGTAATTTTCTCAACTTCAAATTATTTGTGATAAAGCCTCAAACTTGGTGCTCTCTATTCAAGCATTACCACCACTAATTTTGTTTCAACTCGAATTCCCGAGCAATAATGCTCGGGGATTCATGACTCAAAACAGATCAGCCAGCACAGCAAGTATATGAATCAGTTCGATATAACTTCACAACAATGGAAAACTCAGATTTCCCTCAATCAAATTAAGCAAATTTTGTACTATAAAGCAAAAATTCAGAAACAAACAGATAAGTAATTCAACCATGCAAAGCAAAATCAGATCTATCAAACAAATCAAATTACAAAAAAAAAACAAAAAAAAAAACTTTACCCCTCTGATTTTGAAAGACATGGTTAAAGCGATCAGCAGCGACCTAGAGAGAGAGACTATAGAAAGAGAACTGTTTGAAGTAGAATCAAAAGCAGCCACCGAAGGAAAAATAAACGATAGTGTACAAGTGTATAAGCACTACGTACAACAATCTAATGCAGCATGACTCATTGGCTCGACGCGTGTACGCCGCAAACTATTACTAAAATTCTTGCTCAAATTAAAATTCAATTTGCTAGCTAAAGTTTAGCGCTTTAAATATTTTGAAAAATATTTTCTCAAAAAAAAATAATAGTTTTGTGAAATTGAAGAAAATGATTTCGTTAATAGAAATTGAGGAAAATAATTACGTTAATAGGAGTAAAGAAACAAGTTTTCCTGGTAATTCCACATTGATTGTGTTCTCCCACACTCTAACATCTAATTTTTATTTGTCCTAGTCTTGGTGGTCAGGGCGGACCCACGTGAATTTCATCGTCAAAAATTACACGGTATATATAAGGTAAATTATATATATATATATTATAATTTTGAACTCATTCAAGAACAAGAAGCAAGTTGTAGCATAGTGGTAGATAGAGCTGTCAAAACGGACTATGCCCATGGGGATGGCCCAACCCAACCCAACCCGTTATTGGGGTAGGGTTGGGATATGATTTTTCAAGCCCATTTAAAACTAAGGCTTATAAACCCCGCCCATATAAGCCCTTGGCCCTTGAGGCTTGATCGGGGCTGGCCTATGGGACAAAACTTTTCATTTAAGGCTAATTTACAATAATCTCACTAGTATATGATCTAATTACTTAAATATACGTTATTTTGTAATATTATATATCATAACAGATTTTGATACGTCTAGATACATGTATCTCAGAATATATGGACTCAAAATTAGGTTAATTTATTCTAGATACACTTTATCCAAGTAGATCAAATCTCGCGCCCCCGCCTCCCTCCCATCTTGCTTGTCACTCTCTTATATCCCTCGCGTATCTGGTATGCGAGATACATGTTAATTACACTAGAGTTTTTGTTAGTATTATTGAAACAACATCATTGTTTGTCATATTTGATTTGAAAATCTTCTCATTTTCTTGATGTTATAGCATTATAAGTTTGAAAAGAAAAAAAATTAAAAAAAAATTAGAAAGAAGGGCTAGCCCGCCCTAGCCCTCGTCCCTTCTAGGGCTGGGTTGGGTTGGGTTGAACATTTTCAGGCCCTACTAAATGAAGGGCCGGCCCGCCCTAACCTTTCAAATTCCTTGGCCCGGGTGGGACTGGATCGGCAGTGGTAGATCTCCTTTTAAATTGACGTCCAAAATTTGAATCCTATTGTCAACATTTTTTATTTTTTCACTTCTGTTCATTTAGTTTCAAGCCCAATCTTTCATGTTTTTTTAAAACAAAAAATGTGTTAAAAAAGTAGATTTAAACCCAAAAAAATCCAAACATGCTCAAAGGTCTCTTGTAAAGGAACTAACTTTTTGTATCTATAAACTATATACTACTACTTCTTATAAATTTCGTTTTGTTGGCTTATTCACACGTTTATACTTTTATTTTTTTCCGAACACCCTGAATGAAAATTTTGGATCTGTCGTTGTTAGTGGACAAAGCTACCTAGTACATATTGCTAGTGAAAGATGACAAATATCCCGTAAAATTAATTAAGATATGCAAAAACTATCTCAAACACGATCATCATCAAAAGAAAAATCACTTATTTTTGTAAAAAATATCTTCTTTTGTACCGAACACACTCTTTCATCTTATCAAATACCACTCGGCCCAAATAGAAACTTTTTGGACATCAAAGCCTTCTTTTCTTGTTCATAAATATTGAATCAGCCCAATTACTCAAAAAGTGATTTTCTCTAAAGCCCATTTCATTTAAATCATTTTTTCAATTTTGTAGTTAATGTTTAAAGATAAAATACATTTTTATTTTGTCCAAAAGCTAACACTCATCAATCTCACTGATAAAACTCATCGTTGTGGATGCTGATTTTTTAAAAAATTACAGCTTTATCTTCAAAAAATTAATTGCCGGGAAAATGGAGCTCCATGGTAACCCCTTCAAACCCTAATTTCAATTTTTCTTATCAAACTTTGGGGTTTTATTTTTTTTTAATTTGGAAAAATTTTCATTAGGGCACAGAGGTTCAAATCCTAAGGTTGTTCTTGCATCCCTGTTGAACAAAAGAGAAAAGCTTCAAGAAGAATTACGAAATGTTGAAAAACAAGTAAAAAGATTCTATCTTTGTTGAATTCTTCTATTATTTTGATTATGAAGTTTGTTGTAGATGCTCCTTAGTTGGATAATACTCCCTCTTATTCAATTTGTTTGTCTTACTTTATTTTTAGTTCGTTTTAAAAAGAATGTTTTTTTCCTATTTTTGCGAGCTTTTAATTTTAGCTTTATATGTGACATGTTTAAAACCACGAGATTTAAGGTATATTTTGGTGACCACAACAAGTCCAAAAGATTGAAAAGTTTGGTTTATTTTTTTAAATTTCGTGTTGAGTGAAAACCAGACAAACAAATTGAAATCGAGGGAGTAGTATATTTCGTGCTGCTTTACTGATTTTTACTTTCTTAAACTACGTGTTGAGTGAAAACCAGACAAAAATTGAAACAGAGGGAGTAGTATATTTCGTGCTGATTTACTGATTTTTAAAAATATTGTATTATTAGTTTGATATGTTGTGGTAATAAGTTTTTGCTGTAATTTTGAGTATTTACAACTTATGTCATGTGAGACGTTGTTGCTTATTCTCATTATTCTATTTTGTTGTTCAAATATGGGTATTGGTTTGATGTAGGTTTATGAGCTAGAGACGAGTTATTTGCAAGAATCGGGCACTTTTGGGAACGCGCTAAAAGGCTTTGAAGGATTTCTATCAACATCGAATAAGAATTCAAAGTACACACCTTTCCAGTATTTATCTGCTTGTGTTTTTGTAGTTGGAAAATAGAATTGATGGTTAATGTAGATGATTACTTTTTGTTGCAAAGCGTCTCATTTTTTTCACCAAAACATGATCATGGCATGCTTAGGCACAATGATAGTTATTAAGGTTTAGCAATAACCATTAAGGTTATGATAGTTGATGGAATTGGTCATTAAAGCTTCGTTCTATGAATCAGCATTATTCGTGTTTTTGTGCTAATTGTCTTTTGTCAATAACTACTTAGTTTCCGCCTGGTATTGAGATAGTGAAATCAGTGTTGAGGTTCTGAACTGTATGGGATTCGGTTAAGATAGATCAAGAAGTAGATGTACTCTCACAAAAGCCAGAAATTGTTGGCTAGGTGAAAAGGGCCAATCACTGCATCTGATGTTAGAAAAAAAATTCACATGAATTAAAGTAATATACGGGTTCCATGAGACTTTACTATCCTCTTGAGTTACAATCCATATCTCTAGATACTATATAAGAAAAGAAAAGCATATCTCTAGACAAATTTAAAGTTTCCGTCTACGGTAACTCTTCCCGGAGTTTGTCCATTAAAGAGTGTGCAAATTTGATGAAATGTCCTGCAAACAGAAAACAAAAGTTTTGGAGATCTGAGTAATTGTTCAGTAAGCTTAACGAGTCACCAGTTAGGGATATGGTCGATGACATCCAATGCACTAGCATTTGGAAGCTGATTTTAGATTCTGATAACCCTTAAGCTACTTTCATACATGGAACACCACAAGCACTATCCTGAATGAATAAACATTCAATGACCTGACCAATATGTTAAAAAAGCTCGGTGAATATTTTTAAATTAAATTTTTTGATCCATATCTATACTGTAATTGAATTTTATGAATAATGTTGGTGCATTATTTAGGTTCATATTACTGAAATATTTGGGCTGATTTAATTGTACTAGTGACCAGTATTTGACTTTGCTTTCATGAATTAGAAGGTTGTTTCCTTTTCCAGAAGTGATTGTTTGTTTCACTATCTAGTCATAATACGTTTCCCAATGATTTACTCGTAAGAATTTCACTTTTATGTCATCTGGCAGCCTCAAAAGGTCAAGAAAATTCCAGCTTGAAGATAGGTTATTCTCATTGTCTTCAGTCACTTCACCAGCGGTATGTATTTGAGTTCTTTAGAGCTTACTTGTTCTTGGAATTTCTGATATTTGCTAAGTTCTTTACTGATGATGTTTATGTTGTTGCAATTTGATAAAAATTAGTCTTCAAACCGTGTTTTGCACTGCTTATACTTAAGCGTTTGGCATTAACTGGTCCTGCAAACCATTCTGTCCCCTACCCCCTAAAAAGAGAAGTCAAAGAATATCTGCTGAATCTCATATCATATGCATGATAAATTTAATATGGTTTGGCCAAATGACCTATATATGAGAAAACTAATATAAAAGAAAGTATAAAAACTATCGAGAGAATAATCTCCCCCTAAACGCGACTTGTTTGACAACTACATTGGGATATTATGATTTTGTTTACAAGTTCTTTAAACTATGCCTTTAAGATAAGCTTTAGGTTCGATAATTTGAGCACTGCTGGGATGATGATAATAATATTGATCCCATTAGCTATGTTATGAATAAATTTTGTGAAGTATTGATACTTCAAAATACGCAAAGGCGAAGCAAGAAAATTTTGCTTTAACGGCTGAAATAGGGTTCCCAGAGGAGGACTAGGAAATGGTAGTTGTTCTTGCAATCCAAATCCCTGTGATGGGTTCAAATAAGTTGTGTTTATGAGAATTATGCAGTGTTTTGGATAGAGAGAGGCGGAAAGAAAAAAAAGGCATCGATGGTTGCTTCACCGAAGCGAGAAGCGTGAAGTGAAGTGCACGCTTTTTTCAACGGAAGCTCAATTTAATAGAAAAAAATAAAAACATTAATTTCCACCAATAAATAACCATATAAATAACTTTTGTACCTTCACAAGGTAGAGGTAAGGTTGCGTACACACCACCCTCCCCAAACCCCACTTGTGGGATTACACTGGGTATTTGTTGTTGTTGTAAATAACAAGAACTCAATGGAAATAACATATTAAGCAAATCTTTCAATTCTAAAATGAAAAAGTAAATAATAGATACTAGAACTTGCAGCAACAAGAAGATGATGTGCAAGTCTCCATTAGTATTGGAGGAGAAGAAGAACAGCAACTTCGAGTAGCAGCAGCAGGAAGAAGACGCAAGTCTCTC